ATTAATTGAATCTTTCTATCAATAGAAGGATCTAAAATGGTGGATTCGAAGGGAGAGCCTCTCATTCCATCTTTTCTCTCCCTCATCTTTTCTTTCTTACCAAATAACAGATTTACCCTCTCTCTCCACCCCTCTCCCTCCCTCCATCTCTCCCTCTCTCAGTATCAAACATACGCTTACTCGTCGTTGCACAAATCCACAAGCCAAAACTCAATGCTCAAAGATGGAGTCAACTATGCACGGTTACCCAGGCTACAAAGTGAAGATCATACTCAATGAAGCTTTGCATAAATGACGACTCTTATTCTTCTCCCCAAATCAATTGCGACAAATATGCCTGTAAATTGGAAGCTACGGTTTGCAAGCTATACGATACAAACTACCGATCACCAATTCTAATTTCGATTTCAAACAGTCATAAGAAATTGTGACTCTAATACCATCTTAATCTATAAACAATTTTGAGGAGGAGAATAGATGTTAGGGTTTCTCTCATTCAATTGCATTAATTAATTACATTAGAAAATAAGGTTTAGATAGACTTGCAAAATAAAATAAAAGACTGGTCTACCTTTACTAAAGAAAAACAAATAAATAAACACGTTAAATAATAACTTATTTAACAGGTTCTACTTGACTTGGCAATTATTTTTCAACACGGGGAGTGGTGATTTTGGATACTATAACACGGGGGGCAGTGATTTTGGATACTATATAGTGTTAGAAATCAATGATTTGGTGCAAACAATCAGCTAAAAGTCAAGAACATTCATGTTAGATTATCAAGAATGAATAAATCTGTAAGCGGAAGCGTATCTGAATCCATATTGACTGATTTCTCTCTAGAGTTTTGCAGTTTATCTTCCAGATTAATACGTTTTCCTAGAGAACCCTTTAACTTTTTCTTTGTACTCTCTCTGATGATGAGATGTTAGAATGAATAGAATGTAACTTGTGATCTGTGGACCATAACTGCTATTTATAGATAACTTCTCTATTATATTTTGATATTTCTATTTTAGCTCATCATAAAAATAAAAATTACCCATTAAGTTTTTACACATTAAAGGCTCATACTCTATTAGATACATCAAAGCTCAATTATCCAAACCTTATTAGATCATTTTTAAATGGGCTTAACCTTATATGACAATTTACAACATATAATTATTCACATATAAGCCAAATATTGGATTAAGAATCCAGAAGACGCGTAATGAAGTTATGCATATAATAGAGTGATTTCTGATCATACCATTTGGTTTCTAAAAGAAAGGACGTGAATTTAGTGAATGTGCTTCCTTGTAGCATGATCGGATGAGTGTGGTTTCATTAAAATCAATGTGGACGCGACTGTTTCTGAGTTAGCTATTTCGGTTGGAAATTTTTGATTGGTTTAATAGGGTTATCTTTTTTAGTTGGCAATTTTTGATAACGCAAACTGCAGTTCAAAAACCAAACCAGCCAGGTTTTGCGTGCAGTGCAAGTTATATCTGGTTCGGGTATATTTAAAATTCAAGATTGGCTTGTCAAGATATAGATCCGGATTTATTTCATCAGAAAATCAGCGTGAAGATAACGTTTGTTCTGTGGAAGGATATACACTTAAAGACTTAAAATAGTTTGCAGAAGATGTTGTGAAGAGTTGATGAAGATAATGCTAGTTTGATTTGATTTCAAATTCAAGATCAAATATCAACTTTAGGTATGTTTGGTAGTGATTTTTCGAGTTTAAAATTAATTATCTAGTCATCTTGAGTTGAAATTTGTGTTTAATAAAAATCATAAAAAGTAATTTTTAAAAAATTTACCGTCAAAATCAGTTTAGATTGTACATGAATTACCTTAAAATACAATTAATGAAACTTTCACAATATTTATAATATTTTTAAAATTAATATTTATAAAATTATAATTTATTAAATATTCAATTATATTTTATAATAATTTTTTTTTTTAGCACAATTAACAATAATTTTTTTTAAAATTTAGAGCACTATCAAACTATAACAGTTTTTTTTTTTTTTTAGTACAATTAACAATAATTTTTTTTAAAATTTAGAGCACTATCAAACTGGTCTTTTGTGTGATATAATAGTCCAGGACGTGCGTTTCTAAAGAAGACGTATTCGCTGAAGATATTTTCAAGAGAAGACGGCTGGAAACTTCTGGAATTAAATTTGAAATTTAAGAAAAGATATGTTGGCAACAAAATGTGAGACTTGTGACGTTCGAATTTTGAGAGTTATCCATCCGAGTTTTGAGATAATCTTGCATGCTGCTCTTTATATATCTCAATCAATTGCTCTTTAATGTTTATTATGTTTTTAAATAGTTGGTAGAGAAGGGTTTTTGGGACTTGCCTTTAGTTCTAGCAAAAAAATAAAATAAAAATAAAACCCATTTATAATTTTTCCATGGATCCTAATTTCAATATTTTATCAATATTTGTATACACCCATATAAATAATATAGGTATGGTTGACGGTGTCAGGCGGTATTATACTCCTTTGAAGGGTAGGAAGGTCATTTCACAAGCATTTAAAAATGAATGAAGAAATTAAAAAGATAGGTAAACCAATAACTGAATGACATGGTGAGTATTTTGGTTGTAAGTGTAGTTTGTATGTAAACCTTAACCAAGTGTAGTACTAAACGAACACGTATGTAGCACGGTCAAAAGTGAGTCATATTTGTGCGCTTGCAATACCAATTTAAAAAAAAAAAAAAAAAAAAAACCAGTACAACAAACATGTAACTCCGTATGATTTTGGCAGGGATAATAAACAGTTAACCCATTGTTTCAAAAACACGAGGGTTAACTTCAATTTTGGCCCTCAAGTAATATTAGTTATCTTATTTTACTCTTTAATTTTAAACTATTAACGAGACGTTTGGTTCATAAATTTAGAATCATAATTTATGAGTCTAATTTTTAAAATTTAAATTTTTTATGAGAAAAAATTATTGTAGAGAACTAAAAACTATGATTCAGAACTAGAGACGAATCTTTAAAACAAACGTCCCATAAGTAACACACCCGAACTTAATACATATTGTACTAATGGTAGACATTTGTAACATCAAATCTATAAAAAAAAAATGAACGGAATGAAGCACATGAGGCAACTAGTATTACTTAGAGGTTAAAAATACAATAAGAAGTGATTTATTCCTAATACCTAAGTGAGGATAAGTTTTTTTAGGGGGGCAAGGAAACGTGAGAAACGTTTCGTTGCCCGCTCCCCCGTCCCCCAACTCCTTTTTTATTTTTATTTTTTTATGTTTTTTCCTTTAGTTTTTGCCTTTTTTTTCTTTTTCCTCCCTTATCTAATTTTTTGGTTACATCTTTTAACCTTTTTTTATATGTTTTTAAATATATACTCATTTAAATACTTTTCTTATGATTATTTAAAATATTATTTTTTTTTTCTAATTACCTTACTAAAATAATTTATTCTCAATTGTATCCCTACATAATTTATAAATTTCTGATTTAGTTGCGAAACGTTTCACACAATGATAAAGTGTGCGTAACATGTAGCAGATGTTTCTTTCTTAAAGTTCTTTTTTGTCTTTTTACGTCCTTTGCTTTGGAAAATTTATTCCTGCATTTGTCTTTATTTCTTTCATCCTTTATTTTTTTTTCCTCTTATTTTTCCCAACAATTTGTATAACAGTTTTTTGAATAAGAAATCAACAATACTGAAAGAATTCCAATTCAATTCCCCTCAAAAAGGAAAAACGAAATAAGAATAAATTCAAAATAATTTCTTAGAGTCACAGACTCAATGATAAACTCTAAAACTGAAACTAAACTTATAATTAGTTTAATGAAACTAAGAAAATTTTACATTTCGTATCAATTTATAACAAAACCTACTGATCCTTGTATTGTATACATGAAAATCCTAACGATTACTATATTTCTAAATATATAGTAAGCACAAAAATAAAACCCAAAAGAAAACGATAGTTATACCATCGTCCACAATACACACTTCCCCTATTTTCCTATTTACCCAGAGACAACTAGAACGACACCAATTAAATCGTCGTTCTTAACTTTGACTTCTCGTAGTCTCTATTCTATTTCCTCTTTTTTTATTCATTTTCTTGGCAGACCCTATATTCCTAAATATATTCTCTAATAGACCCTACATCATAGCACATTTTATAAAAAACTTAACATGCCGTAATGGCTATGATTAGTGTGCCAGACTAATCAGGCAAATTAAAATTGCCGGATGTGAGACAATTCTTATATGTATATAAGTATTTGAGTTTAGAAGGTTCAGATTTATAAGTAACAATTCAAGGTCATTTCGAGACGCATTCAAATTACAAATGTGTTATGTGGAAATTCATATATTCTAATACTCATTAGTGTTAAGGAAATCCCATCACGCATGCAAAATGGGAACCATTAGTTATATTTGTTGGCTAGATGTCGTTGTCCAGGTAAGTTGTCTTAATTAGTTATTACGACAATAATTATAATGCCAATAGTAGCAGGAATAATGGTAGCTCGAACAATATAACAGTTTATTCCTTCAATAATTATAACAACTACAACAACAATGATAATGATTATATGATGATAATTATAATAATAATGTTATCAAATATTTTTTACATTTTAATATCTTTTATCCCCTTTTTTTTTTCACTATGATTGTTGTTACCGTTTTAAATCTTCTGAGCTTATCTAGAGAAACGACACATTTTTTTCCTGTCATTTTCGCCCACATTTGAAACAATATCTCGTTTTAAGGATAATGTTGTCCATATCGTTAATAATCATCTAGCATACCTCAATAACAACATTTCGTTAATTATCTAGCAAATGGCCAAATGATACGTACTTTCCGTTGTCGTTTTTGTCTACTTTGAAACGATATATCGTTTTGTAGATAATGTACTTGTGCTTGTCATTGATTTACCAACGATCGGCTCTTCATTTTAAATTATTTTGTTGCTTTCCAACTTCATTAGTGGATGACTATATATTTCCCGGGCTGAATTTGATAAAATAATTTTTGAACCGATTTCTTCAAATATATGCAAAACAGAAAAATACCCTTTTCTCATGAACACAAGAACAAACAGAAAATCACATACAAATGAGAAACCAGCCAAACCCAATATTCCACTGCCGCGTAATTTTAGTGAGCTTTGCTCAGAATGACTTGTAAACTTGACACAAATTTGGCAAAACCAGCTTCATTCTTTGCCATCAGCAGCACGTAGAGAACCCAGTTGAACAGGTGCTTGTGTCCCCACAACTTTGGAGGACCCATAAACTGACAAATCAACGCCTTGAGCTTTCTCTTTCTCAATCTGTTCCTTTATCCAAAAGTACGTGATTCTCAGCCCATCCTGTAGTTACAATGGATTAACACATGATTCTATTAAGTGGTTTGACTCAACGTGAGAAGAAAAACTGATATTGCTCTTCATTAATGTACCTTCAACTTCATAGTAGGAGACCAGCCAAGCTTTTCCTTGATAAGGGTGTTGTCCGAGTTTCGACCGCGGACACCCTCGGGCCCTGGAATGTGATGGATGGGGAGGTTCTTGTTCTCAAAGCTCAGGACTATCTTGGCCATTTCGTTCATGCTAACCATCTCATCGCTTCCGATGTTTACTGGCTCTCGGAAGTCTGACTTTGTCAATCTACACTCAGATAAACATATTTAACAGTCAAGAAGTTATGAATCCATTAAAGAAAGTGTTTTGCACATGTATGTAGCATCAAAATGGGATTTGATGTATGACTTTCAAGCTCTCTTAAGAAAAGTTTTGACAAACATGTTGATTTCACAAAGGAAACTTGATTCCAACATGTACCACATCTAAAAAAGTGAGACGATTAACGAGTGGATTTTGGGATTTATGGTTGTTTGGTAGGACTGAGAGAAAGCAAACAACATAAGAAAAATTTTCTTTTGCTTTCTCTCGTATCAAACAACATAAGAAAAATTTTCTTTTCGTTCATCTCCCAATTTCACTCGGATATCTGTCTACCTCTTTCCCCTTCCTTTTCACATTCTGCTCAAGCATAGAGGATAGTGAATGTTCATTCAAAGGCATTGTTACCTTAGGACACCTTCCACACATTCGTCAATGAAGGTGAAAGACCGAGTTTGTAGTGCATCGCCCCACATCTCAAACCTATCAGTGGAAGTAATGGCTTTTCTACCGAAAGCAGCCGGAGCCTTCTCTCTCCCACCTGCAACAAAACAAGTTATAAAAGGATGTTAGACTAGTCCCAATGGAAGCATATGCAATATGTGTTTTTTGGTCATGAAATTATTAGCTAACCTTTCCATGTTCCAAAAGGTCCATAAATGTTGTGAAACCGTCCAATACGACATTCGATACCAAAGTCCTTGTTATAGTGCTTGCATATTTCTTCACTCATGAGCTTCTCTAAGCCATAAGCATCTTGAGGCTACTCCACAAGCAATCAATACAAAGATTTATAACGTTCGAGAATTCGAAAACAATATTGAAAGTATCCGTGAAACTACTAAATTTTTAAGTAGAAACCTCTGCAGGCCAAGCATCAGACTCCTTCAAGCTCACATTCGTATCCAACTGTTTAAATTCAGGATATATGCAGGCACTAGAGGCATAAAAAAGCCTGAAAACAATGGTTTGGAAACAAATAACAATGGTTAGGAAACAAATCAGTGAAATAAGTGAGGCATAAACTTTCCTTTACTTCCTATATACTCCACAACAATGGATATAAAAGCAATGAAGTAGCAGGAGTTGGAAGAGAATTTGTCACCAGCAGTAATTGAGAATCATATAATTCCTTAAGTCATTTATTTTGCATTTTATTCTTCAGAGGAATAAGGATTTTAACCAACTACAAAATCGGTATTAATCATTCAGAAGTAGAAGAAATTAAACAACTGCTGGTATAGTTTTGTTGCGTATAGAATAAGGAAATGTTTTAAAAACCAGACATGATAAATCTAAGGCAACAACCCTTTTAACTCCATTGATTCTTGCAGCCTCAAGAACATTAAAGCTGATCATTGTGTTGTTGTACATGATGACCGAATGGTTGGACTGAATAAAACCCATGCCACCCATGTCTGCGGCAAGGTTGAACACATGGTCAACTCCATTAGTGACCTTCAAACAGTTCTCCATCACTCTAAGATCAACTAGATGGAACTCATGGCAGAACATGTCCTCTGTCATGTGCTCATTTTTCTTCCAGTCGGAAGCAATAATGTAATGGCCCTCACTCTTCAATCGCCTCGCGATGTGTGAGGCAATGAAACCGCCAGCTCCGGTTATGGAAATTCGAAGCTTTCCGGAAGGCCAGTATGGTTCCCTCTCCAGGCTCTCATAGGTGTATTCTCCATATATACTTCCCATTCTGCACCAGTTAAATTCTAGAAAAATATTGAATGCTTTTAATGTAAGTCCTAAGCATATATTAGAAGTTATATCAAGCAATCAGTAGGTGTAGCATTAGCAAATCATAAGCTAAATAATTTATTTGTAATTCTTACGTAGCATTTAACATTACATTTGTACTATTGGATTATCATATAGGGGAAACCCAAAAAAAAAAAAAAAAACAATTCATGATGGGTATCCTTTGTTGGTCTAAGGACTAGGAGAAACAAAAACATTTGACGCTGAACAAGCTAATTAAACCACTCAACAAACTCTTATTGAAGTGAAAGATGGCCATCCAAATCCATCTTCTGCATCATTTTAATCTCAAAGTACTATCAGCCCAGAAGGCAAAAATTATAAGATGATGCATAAAAAACAGTCATTTTAGAGAATTCTTAGGTAGGCTAAGAAAAAAACACTATCAATAGGCATTTAGGTATAATTCTGAACCGTCAGACTTCTATCTATTAAACTACATATTTTTCTAAACATTATATGATTCTGATATCACATGAGAGGTCATAATTGTCCAATCTCTTTATACCTCTGCCTGAAAAATATTTCCTTTTTGTTTGAAGATAACTTTT